GGGGGCTCCGAGCCTTCCGCTTCTCCGCTGCCGGTGCGTGGTGACAGCGAGGGGACAAGAGGGGGACACGTGTTGGGGTCAGAGGGAGGAGTGGTGGGCGAGGGGAGCGTCCCCGTGGGACTTGGAGGGACAGGGAAGCAGCTCCGGCAACTTCAGGGGCAAGGCGGGATGGAGAAGAGGGGGAAGAAGGGACGGGAGAGCTTCAAGGGGGAGGGACGGAGTGGGGAACAACTCAAGGGGACAGCGGGGACAGGAGGGGACAGGGGGGAGAAGCGTTGTGGGGACGGCGGTGGGAGAAGGAGAAAGGGGAACCTTCCCAGGGAGGCTTTGGAAGAACTCCAGGGGATAGGAGGGGAAAGGGCAGAGGACGAGGGAGGGATAGCGGGGAGAGTGGGAGGGATGCGGGGGAAGGAGGGAAATTCCCCCCGGAGATGGATGGGGAATAACTCAAGGAGACTTGTAAGGGACGGGACAGCATCCAGGGGAACTGAAAGGGGGGCAGAGACATTTCTCAGAGTGATCTGGGGATGGGGAACCCCTCAGGGGGACTTGGGGAGGACGGGAATCCCTCAAGAGAACTTGATGGGGACAGGGACAGCTCTCAGAGGGACCTGGGGGACTGGGGACCTGCGGTGGGGGAGAGGGACAGCGTTTGAGGGGACTTAGGGGACAGGGGAACCCCCCTGGGGCACTGCAGGGGATCAGGGCAACTCATGAAGGGACAGGGACATCTCTCAGATTAACTTAGGGGACAGGGAGACCCTTCAGGGGACACAGGGCAGGGGCGGACACAAAGAGCTGTCACAGAAACTTGTGGGGACACAGGGACACTCTCCAGAGGAGTCCCTCGGAGGGGACTTGTGCCACTCCACCCTGTCACGCTCTGTGCTGGGGGTGCTGCCACCCACCTGCTGTCACTCACCCGTCCATGGGAGGCTCGGTGTCCCCCCCACCTCCCCCCGTGTCCCTCGTCCCCGGTGTCACCGCGCTGTCCCCGCAGACGTCGCGTACCTGCGCTCTGTCCTGCCCAGCACCATCGATGACGCCTTCTTTGACTACCTGGCCACCCTGGATGCCTCCGAGGTGACCGTCACCGCCATTCCTGAGGGCTCCGTCGTTTTTGCCAGGGTGGGCCCCCTCTCCATCTTCTTTCCTGACCATCTCACCTCTCCCAGTTCCCAGACGTCCCCTTTTCCCTGACCCTGGGAGCCCCTGGACCACCATTCCCACCTTTCCACCCCCCAGCCTCCCCCCTCTTTCCTCAACACCCTGGAGCCCTTGAACCCCCATCTTGGCCACCCTCATGTCCCCACCCTGTGACCCCCTTTTCCTTCACATTGGGAACCCCTGGAACCCCTTTCCTGGGCACAGGGACAATCTGGATCCTCATTCCTGGGCAATAGGATCCCCCTGCACCCCCTTCCCTGGCACTGGAATCCCCTTGTACCCCCTTTTCCTTCACCAATATCCCTCTGCTACCCTCTTCCTGACCATCCCACCTCTCCCAGGCCCAGCCTTTCCCTTTTCCTTGGCTCTGGGATCCCCTGGACCCCTATTCCTGCCTTTCCCAGCTCCTCCCTGCTCCAGAGGGACTGGGATGTCACCTCTGTTCCCGCAGGTGCCGTTCCTGCAGGTGAAGGGGCCGCTGCTGGTGGTGCAGCTGCTGGAGACCACCTTGCTGTGCCTGATCAACTACGCCAGGTATTTTGTCATGGGGATGATCCCAAAGCCCCCCTGAAAGATGGAGGGGGACAGGGAAGGGAGTGCAGCACCCCCCAATCCAGAGGGACACCCCAGTCCTTGGGGTACCATGACCCCACAAGTGCCCTGCTGGAATTCAACTGCTGGAATTCTACCAGTTGAATTTAACTACTGGAGGGTGTCCCAGTGTCCCCCCAAGTTTTCCTGAGGGCTTCCCATGTCCAGCCCACCCTGAAGAGTCTCCCTGTCCCTCAGGTTCTCCTGAGAGATGTCCTGGTCCCCCACAGGTCACCTTTAGGATCTCCCTGTCCCCCAAGTCCCCTTGGCCAACTCCACCACATCCCTGTCCACCGAGTCCCGTGGTGATCCCTGCTTTTTCCAAACAAGGAGGGTCCTGGAGCCCCTTGCCCTTGGCTGTGCTGGCTCTGTGTGACCTGTCCCCTTTGTCCCCCAGCCTGGTGGCCACCAACGCTGCCAGATTCCGCCTCCTGGCCGGGCCGGACATGAAGCTCATAGAGATGGGGCTGCGCCGCGCGCAGGGGCCCGACGGAGCCCTCTCGGCATCCAAGTA